TAGCAAGGGTAGAAGGAAGTCAGACTAGATATTCTGTGGCTCACCACAAATTTTGGTTCCCATCAATATTGGGTTATGCTAATTTAGAGATCTTACTGGTATTTCGATAAAATTGAAATTCTCACTTTCCATTCCTAGCCAAAAAGAATCACAATATACAAGATAAAGACCTTTTGTACTTTTTCATACAGGCAGATGCTATCATTCGTGGACGATGTGCCAGATAGCTGAAACTGTCACCATCCTGTGCCAGCAATAATGAGGCAGCTCCATGACACAGTCTATGGAAATCTAAGGCTGTGAGCTTTGAGCAGAATCCTGACTGCCAATCTGTCCCAGGAATAACCTGCCTATGTCTTCCTCCCAGCTGGTGGACAACTTCAAATGCTATGTGTACATGGAGCCTGTCTACTACCCTGACCTTGCAGTAACTAGGAACTTGATTTAAGTGTGAAATAGAGACTCATAAAATAAACCCCCAAATATCCAGGATACAATAATTACACACACACACACACACACACACACACACGCATATCAAGAACTAGGGAAAATCTCAAAGTGGATGACAAAACATAATCAACAGATATCAACAGGAAGTTAACACAGATATTGGAATTATCTGACATGGATTTTAAACTATGAAAACTCATCGAAGATGAATAGTCTGGTAACTATTAATTAAATCCATAATTTACCAACTTCAGAAGCAGAAATCTCCAGGCCTGTATTAGGGTTCTTCAGAGAACCAGTACCAATATGATATCAAAGGAGATTTGTTTTAAGGAATTGGCTTATATGATTATGGAGGCTGAGAAATCCCACGATCTGCCATCTGCAAAATGGAGACCCAGAAAGGCCAGTGGTGTAATTCAGTCAACAGTCCAAAGGCCTGAGAATGAGAGGAGCCAATGATGTAAATAAATCCCAGTCTGAGGGCAGAAGATGAGGTGAGATGTCTCAGCTCAGAAAATAGGGGAGGGGAGAATTCTTCTTTCCTCTGCATTTTTGTTCTATTCAGGCCCTCAACGGATTGAATAATGCCCACCCACATAGAAGAGGGCAAACTCACTTTACCAAACTCACTGATTCAGATGCTGATCTCATTCGGAAACATCCTAACAGACACACCCAGAAATAATGTTTAGCTAGGTATCTGGGCATCCTCTGATCCAGCCAAGCTGACACATAAATTTAACTATTACAAATGCACACTGTCAAATTGGCACTCATACTGCTCTCCTTAAACCATACTTAATCTCCAAATAAAAACAATAACAAGGTCATAATTTCACCTAACATGATACAGCTATTCTGGGTACAACTGAAAACTCAGTAAATTTTTCCCAGAAGAGGATGCAAAGTCCTTGGGTGATCTTTACACTTCTTCTAGGTACCCTGTAATTTAAATATGATGATGTAAAATTAACAACATTAAATACTATGATATAAAGTCAATACTTGAATACTATGATGTAAAGTTACAAGGTATGGGATTAAGAAAGAAAAGAATATAAGCATAAACACACAGGTTCATAACAAAACAAGGAGGAATACTCATGACAGTTACAGTCCTCATTTCTGTAACTAGTCACATGATCATGCTTCTTTACCTGGTGGAGTGACACAAATTTTCATTCCTGCAGGGTCTGGATCATTGGTAGTCCTGCCTGGATTGGGTTGTTGTTTTCCACTGACCTTAGTCACAGGGCCATGGTGATAAGAGATGCCCTAAGTGATCTCTTGTATTCCAGATGTATTCTTCCTTACCTCCATCGTGGGATAGTAGTCCAATTTCCCCTCAGTAGTCAGGATCGATCATCCTAGCCAACACCGTAACTCTCCTTTGCCCGTTGATTCAGAGGCATGAGACCAAGGTGGCCAGGTGGCAGTCTGAACTTCCAGTTCACTGGAATCATTATTGTGCCACCTGCTGGAAGCAGTCTTCCTTCTGGAACTAAAACCTCTAACCCAGAAGGGCATAAAGTCATGGGAATGGGAAGCAAAAATTTTGATAGTGGATCACTAGGGGTAATAGTTTTACCACTACCATTTCCACCTGTAAAGGAAAACCCACAGTTCTTCCCTGTGTTTCTTCCTTGTGCGTCTTCTTTACTATTCACACAGAACACTTCACTTCTGACACTTCTGGTCACCAAATGTCGGGGGTGGCTGCGCGGTGCATGGCGGGGTGGGGGGGTCAGCTGGGTGTCCTACAATTTAGTGTCAGACACACAGGTTAAGGGCTCAGTCCCACAAGGCTGCTCACCACTTCAGATGCCAACTGCAAGTAGTAGGTCCCCATGTTACAACTTCTGTCTGATTTGGCTACAAATTCAAGGTTCCTACGACCCCCTCCTCAGGTTCAAGTAATTTGCTAGAGCAGCTCATGGAACTCAAGAAAACACTTACATTTACCAGCTTACTGAAGGATGTGTTAAAAGGATACAGATGAACGGCCAGATGAAGAGAAACACAGGGTAAGGTATGGGAGGTCCCAAGCACAGGAGCTCTGTCCTTGTGGAATTTGGGTGTCACCCTCCCAGTGTGGATGTGGCCACCAACCTGGAAGTTCTTTGAACCCTGTATTTTGGGGATTTTTATGGAGGTTTCATCATGGAGGCATGACGGATCATTAACCCCATTTCCAGCTCTTCTCCCTTCTCAAGAGAAAGGTGAGCAGGGTTGAAAATTCCAACGTTCTAATCATGCCTCCTTAGTCTTTCTGGAGACCAGCCCTCATCCAAGGACCATCAAGGAGCCCACCCAGAGTTGCCTCATTAGAACAGAAGATACTCCTATCACCTAGGAAATTACAAGGGTTTCAACAGTCCTTTGTCAGGAGCCAGGTCAAGGACAATATATTAGAGTAAGAGATGCCCCTAGTGTTCTTATCACTTAGGAAATTACCAGAGTTTTAGGAGCTCTGGGCCAGGAACTAGAGTCAGAGACCAACATATATACAGTTGACCCTTGAATGGGTTTGAACTGTGAGGGTCCACTTATACATGGATTTTTTTCAATAAATACCACAGTACTACACAATCCAAGGTTGGTTGAATCCACGGATGCAGAAACAAATACAGAGGGCCAACTATAAAGCAGTATGCAGATTTCTGACGGCACGGGGTATCGGCACCCCTAAACCCTGGGCTGTTCAAAGGGCAACTGAATTTTGTTATCTCACACTATTCCTCGACTCCTGTATCCATGAATCCTGGCTACTAGAGAAACTATCACATATTGGATTCTGATTCAGAGCATATACAGCCTTCTGGAGAACCCAGACTCAGCCTGCAAGGTACTGCCACCAGCTGGATCTATAACTGAGGCTTCAAAAGGCCATGCCACCATTCTATCAAGCGAGCTGCTTCAGGATGGTGGAGAACACGTTAAGACCAGTGAATTGCATGAGCATGGACCCATTGCTGCAGTTATTTTACTGTGAAAGGAGTTCCTTGATCAGAGGTGATGCTGTGTGGAATACCATGACAGTGGATAAGGCACTGTATGTACATAATCCAGGGATGGCAGTTTTGGCAGAAGCACTGCATGCAGGGATGGCAAATCTGTATCCAGAGTAAGTCTCTATTCTAGTAAGGACAAAGCGCTGCCCCTTCCACAATGTAAGTGATACAATGTACTCAACCTGCCACCAGGTAGCTGGTTGAACACCTCTCAGGGAATGCTGCTATATTAGGCATTCAGTGCTTGTCTCTACTGGCAGAATGAGCACCCAGCAGTGGCCACACTCAGGTGAGCCCTGGTGGGTGGAAGTCCATGTTTCTGAGCCCATGCATAATGTCCATCCCTGCCACCACTATGTTCCTAAGCCCACTGGATGATAATGGGGGTAGCTGGGAAAAGAAACTGTTATCCACAGAACAGGCCATCCTATCCACTTGATTATTAAAGTCCTCTCTGCTGAGGTCACCCTTTAGTAGGTATTTATACAGGGCACAAATACCTTCACATGTTTTGCCCAGAGAGGTCTATCCACACATCTCTTTCCCACATTTCACTGTCACCAAATTTCCAATCATGTTCCTTCCACCGTTATTCCACATCCTTAGTATCCATTCCCATGCTTGTTCCCTAGACTTGCCTGTAAAAATTAGAAAACTCAAGTAATTCTTTTGGAGTGTAGCACACCTCCTCCTGGGTCACACTTTGTACTTCACCTTTAGGAGTCTGCTGGGATTTGAGTCTAGTGATAGGCCCATCAGCATCATCTTGCATGGCCACTGCCTCAGGGGAGGTCATGGTTTCTTCAGGCAATGCGGGGTTAATCCCCTCAAATGGAGGTGGAAATGCCATTGCCACTGTGGGTGGGGATGCCACTTCCATTAGTAAAGCAGACTCTAAACTCAGGAGCTCAGTGTCCCCAGCTTCATCCCACATGTCTCCCAACCAACTTATAGGATGCTATTTTTTCCCAATCTATGCCCTCATTTTAACACTATTTACTCAGCTAAGAATTTTCCAAATCTTTACATTCTGCTTCAAAAACTCCATCTTTAAGTCATTTCTCTCTCCTTGCACTTCATTATAATCAGCCAGGAGGAGCAAAGCCACACATTAAATTTCATTGCTCAGAAGATCTACTTTCCACAAAATACTAGAACACAAACACAATTTAGCCCTGTTCTTTGCCACTATAAAAAGAATGACCTTTCCTCCAGTTTCCAATAATAAGTTCCTCATTTCCATCTAAGACTGCGGCAGAATGGTCTTTACTGTCCATATTTCTACTAACATTTTGTTCATGATTATTTCCTAAGACTGAGGCTTTCTCTTCAGCTCTCCTCTTTTCTGAGGTTTCACCAGAATCACCCTTAATATCCGTTATTTTTTGCATGCACGTCAAAACTCTTTTCAGCCTTTATCCACTCACTATTCAGTTCCAAAGCCACTTCCATGTCTTTTACATTAGTACCCACTTCTAGTACAAACTTGTCTTATTCAGCTTGGGCTGCTATAACATGGCACCACAGACTGGGTAGCTTGTGAACAAATTTATTTCTCACAGGTTTGGAGGCTGGAAGTCTGACATTAGGGTGCTAGCACAGTTAGTTTTGGTGAGCAACATCTTCCAGATTGAAAACTGTCATCTTCTTGTTGTATCCTCATCACATGGCAGGAGAGGGTGAGAGAACTCTCTGGGGTCACTTTTATAAGGGTACTAATCTCATTCAGAAGGGCTCCACCCTCATGACCTAATTATCTCTTGAGAGGCCCCACCTCCTAATACCATCACATTGGGGGTTAGGATGTCATCACATTTTAAGGAGACACATTCAGTCCATTGCAAGGCCCAAACGGTTTCACTGGAATATTCTACCATTCAAAGAATAATTAACACCAATTCTACACTACCTCTTCCAGAAATTAAAAGGAAGCAACATTTCCAAACTCACGTTATGAGAACACCATCAACCTGAAACCAAATGAGACAAAAATAGAATAAAACTATAGACCAGTATCCTTCATGAATATAGATGCAAAAATCCTCAACAAAACATTAGTAAATCATAGCAATCACAGCAAGTACAGCAATATATATATATATATATATATATATTTAAAGTACACACTATAGACAAATGGAGTTTACTCCAGTGATATAAGGCTTAATATTTGAAAATCCATGAAGGTAATCCATCATATTAACAGAGTAAAAAAAAAAAATCATTCATTATATCAATTGGTGCATATTTCAAGTAGAATTTCAAGGAAATAGAGGGTTCATGACAGTGTTTACAGGTAGCAAAGGGTTCTCAAAGTTATAATGGGCCTGAGAGGGGAGGAAAACTCAAATATGTGGTGCTGTCCTGAAAATGTCACCCCAGGATAAAGATAAAGCCAACTTTCATCCTTTCTGTGAAACAGCGTGGCTTCTAAGAATTTCAAAGTCGTTTTTCCACAGTAGCCTCACAGGGAACCCAATACAGAGAAGAGCCTGTTGATCTTTTGTCTAATTGAATGAACCCTAATAAAAATCATAGAAAACACAGTCTTAAAGAGAATTGTACTACATGAAGCACTGCAAGCTTGAACTTAGTGGGAAACAGTATAAAGTAAAAAAGGGCCTTTGGATGCCAAAACATCTACAGGCTATAAACAGTCTGAGAAAACTACTCAGCTGTAAACACAGGCAACGTTTTATGAAGAGAAGAAAAAAAAATTCAGCATGACTCGGGGTAGAACCAAAGAGACCTCAGTGTGTAAACATGCTGCTACTTGGGAGCAGAGACATACTTAAATTGGGTTCTGTATTATGCAGTAATGCAATCCACTGAATATCACAGCTTCCCAACAACAGCAGAGAAATGCTGTGAGAAACTGACCTGTTAGATATTTTTTTAGAAGTATTCAAAAATTGTGTGTTTTTTACACTTAACACCATCTTAATTTGTACTAACCACAATTCAGGCTCTCAATAGCTCAATTTTAAGGGTTCAACATGTTGCTAGCAGCTACCTTATCAGATAAAACAGTTCCATTCCATTAATTTCCACAAGTAGTTGTAATTGCTCTTTTTACTCACTCTTGAAATATACGAAGTACTATGGGACAGGCACTACAACAGATGTAGCATTAGGTGAACTAGATAAAATCTGGATCCTCAATCTTAATTTCCCAAATACATTATAGCACATTTAATATCCCTGTGTGTAAAACTTTAGCAACATCCGTAAGTTCTGATATGTAGCCATTTACAAACATCATTCACTTTAAGTGGGTTATAATTTCACAGATACTTTATCTTTAAAAAAAATTATGGAAAATTTAAAATACATGAAAATAGAGAAAAGAGCAAAAACAAAATAAGCAAAAACCACGCACCTGACTCATCTTGCCATGATTTTGACAAACAAGTTATCCATCTTCAATTTTCTTTTGCATGAGCATTTTAAAGGTAATTCTAGACATATCATTTCATGTGTATAAACTTGCTAATTTATCTCTAAGACACTTTTACATAAACACAATGCTATTTGCACATCTAACAAGAACATAATTCTTAATATTATCTAATACTGTCAATAGTCCCATTTCCCCAACTTTCATAAAAATGTCTTTTTTACACTTGTTCGACTTGTGATCTAAATGAGAACCACTCATTCATTGCATTTGATTGATACATCTCTTAAGACTCTTAATATCTAAGAGTTCCACCTCCCTTTTTTCAATCCATTTTATTGGTTGAGAAGCTGTCATTACTCTTGTAGAATTACCCACATTTTAGATTTGTCTGCTTCTTGCTGTATCATGTAATTTGTTCTTGTTTCCTGAATTTTCTCTAAACTGGGAGTTAGATCTTGACGCTTTAATCAGATTCAGGTTCAATATTTTTTGTCAATGGTATGTCTTATTGTATCATATCAGGAGGCACAAAATGTTTTGTCCTATTTTTGATGAGATTAAAATTGATCAGTGGGTTCAGATGTTGTCAACCTGATCTATTCACTATGAAGTTGACATCAACCATTCACCTAAAGGTCTTAACACCTCTACTGAGAATTGTGCCTAGATCCATTATTTCATTATGTCCTATAAAAATCTCTAATAAAGAACTTTACCTCATCAATTTCTAGTTGCCTTGAAATATAGTTTATACAGGAAATGCAGGCTAAATCACATTTCCTTCCTTTTATTTATCAATTTCCAGAATGAGTTGGTGCCCTGGCAACTTCCATAGGTATACTGTACAGATGAAAGAATAGAGGTGATAACAGGTAAGATCAAAAGCTTTTCCACATTCACTCCTTTAAGAGAGTTTCTTTCTAGGAAGAACTTCCTAAAGTTTAACATGGTTTGAATGGTGATGAAATATTTCTATATATTAATTAAATTAACCTATTCTTTTAAAACCTCTTATTTTAATTTTGAGCATGAAGCAAAAGGGATTCCTACATTCAAACACTTTTCCTCCAGAATTTATTTTCTACTGCCCCTTAACACAAAATTCACAATGGATGGCTTTCTAATAATTATTTAGTGACCTTATGAACTCGCTGATGGTAAGTAAGGTGTGAATGTTGTCTAAAGGCCTTCTTACATTCCTTACATTTGTATGGTTTCTCACCAGAATGAATTCTCTGATGTTGAATAAGTGATGAATGTAGTCTAAAGGCCTTTCCACATTCCTTACAGTCATAGGGTTTCTCACCAGTATGAATACTCTGATGTTGAGTCAGTTGGGAGAGCAGTCTAAAAGTCTTCTCACATTCCTTACATTTATACGGTTTCTCACCAAAATGAATACTCTGATGTTGAGTAAGTTGTGAGAACAGTCTGAAGGCCTTCCCACATTCCTTACAATCATAGGGTTTCTCTCCAATATGAATACCCTGATGTGAAATAAGTTCTGAGTAACGACGAAAGAACTTCTGACATTCCTTACATTCATAAGGTTTCTCACCAGTATGAATTCTCTGATGGAGAGTTAGATGATAGGCACGACTAAAAGTCTTCCCACATTCCTTACAATCATAGGGTTTCTCGCCAGTATGAATTCTCTGATGGAGAGTAAGTTGTTGCCGCACTCTAAAGGCCTTCCCACACTCCTTACAGTCATAGGGTTTCTCACCAGTATGAAGTTTGTGATGTACTCTAAGGCCTGTACTACACAGAAAAGCCTGCCCACATTCCCTACATTCATAGCATTTCTCAGCAATATTAAGTCTTTGATGTCGAGTAAGGTGTGCATATTGTCTAAAGGTCTTCCCACATTCCTTACATTCATAGGGTTTCTCACCAGTATGAATCCTTTGATGGAGATTAAGTTGTCCTCGCACTCTAAAGGCCTTCCCACATTCCTTACAGTCATAGGGCTTCTCACCAACATGAATTCTCTGATGTACACGAAGATCTGCACCACATGTAAAGATTTTTCCACATCTTTTACATTCAAGGAGTTTGTCAGAAGCATGAATTCTCTGATGTCGACTAAGGTGGGCACACTGTCTAAAGGCTTTTCCACATTCTTTACATTCATAGGGTTTCTCACCAGTATGAATTCTCTGATGGAAAGTGAGTTGCTGGCGTACTCTAAAAGCCTTCCCACAATCCCCACATTCATAGGGTTTCTCTCTATTGTGAATTCTCTGATACAGAGTAAGAGATGTGCGTTTTTTGTTCTTGGGCATTTTTTCAGAGGTGGTTTTTTTCACTTGCCTGAAATACGCCTCCTGAGGACCCTCTTGTCCCTCAAACTTTTTATATTCACAATCTTTCCTGAAAAAGGAATCTTCAAGGCCACAACTTCTAATTCTTTCCATTATCTCCCACTGAGATACATTCATTTCACAAACATCCTTTACTTCAAATAACTTTTTAGTGCCATATCTGGATTCCAAATCTGAAAGAAAGTAAGATAAACACATGCTATTTTCTTATTCTAGAAAAAGTAAACAAATAAGCAAATAAAAATTTTATAATAGGAAAGTCCAGTTGAAGAAAATGTGCTTAAAAACTCTTTAAAAATCATGTAGCTTGAAAAAAGCTAAGAGAAATAAAGAAAATGAGTTAAGACCAGATAATTCAGAAGCAAATCAAAGTCTGAGATCTCTACCTAAACTTTTTAATGATTTCTCTTTTTAATAAGAATACAGTAGAAACACTTTATTATGAATAACATGGCCTTTGTTTACCAAAAGATGTCATCTCAAGCTACTGCCCCCTTTGCACCCTACATCTGTCACACTTACCTCCTTTCAGTTGCTAAAATATGTTACAATCTTTCCATTTCTTAGAGCTTTTTACTGGCTGTTAAATCTCCCAGGAATGCTGGCGGGCTCTCCACATGGTTGGGTTCCTTTCACCCTTTAGGTATCATGATAAAAGTCAGAAAAACTACCTGTGCTGACTTCATCTAATTTATATCCTTTATTTTCTATCCCAATAACTTGTTCCTTGCTTAACACTTTTTTCAATTCTGCTGTGGTATATTCATTAACTTTCCCAATTGTTATTCTATTTTCTTACCCCAAGGGCAGAAACAATCTTTCACTTATCACTGAATAACAAACCCATAGCACACAGTAACTATTAATTATTAAATTTCCATAATTAGTTAATAGTAAAAATGTATATTTTGCCTTGCCTCCAATCTTACACCTTCTTTTTTATCACTTCCTATAGAGATGGGAAACAAAAGCACATCTAAGCTATCTCAATCAAATACATACATGGAAAAATTTCTTTACACCTGATCATCCTTCCAATGGCCTCTCCACTTTCACTTGCAGATATCTCCACTTCAGTTCATTTTCTACGTTGCATAGTTGTGAGTGAACCTCACTTTCACGATCAAGGTAATAAAAGGTTCTACTTATTTATCTTCATTTGAGTTTATTAACTATACACACTATGTTACAAATACTCAACCTGTTTTGTTCCTTCATACCCTTTCCTATATTCTCCCTGAAGTCTTCACAGCCAATGCCATTTAGGTACTGCCTAAAAATATATTAGCGATTTTTCAGTCACAGCAACAGGTTTATAAAAGAGCAACATGCTAATGAAATTCTGAGCAGAGACGTATTTTTCTCAAATGTATATTTTCTCAAAATTTTTGAAATAAGATTTCAATATTTTTCAAAAAGAAAAAGGTATTTTAAAAAATCTACTATACAGCAACATTATTTTTAATATACCCAAACTGGAAAGAATCTAAGTGTTCATCAACAGAAGAATGACAAAGAAAATTAAGATATGTGGATACAATGCAATAAGAGCAATGAGACAAACTGTAACAGCAATGAGAATGAATAATCTACAAGTACACACAACAACATGGATCATTCTCACAAACATAATGGTGAGTAAACAAAGCCAGGCATAAAAGAATTTATACTATTCCATTTTTATAAAGCTTGAAAACAGTAAAACTAATCTATGGACTTGTTAGAAGTCAGGTTAGTAGTTAACTTTGGTAGGGAGGAATGACTGGAGAAAGTTAGGGGGGAGCTTCTGATATACTAGTAAAGCTCTATTTCTGAATCAATGTGTAATTACTTTGTGAAAATTCAGTGAGCCACATATTATAATTCTGTATTTTTTATATCTGTTCATATTTCAATAAGTTTACTTTAAAAAGGATATACTAAAAAGACATTAAAAGGCAACAATGATTTAAATAGTGTAGATAATTTGTGAGCAGAGACAAAAAAATGAATGGCACAGAAAATACTCCTATGAAATCTGAGTGTCTTTCTCCATGCTTCCCCCTCCCTTCCCTCTCTCCTGTTCTCCTTCCTTTACTCCTCTCTTTCTCTTTCTCCCCCTCCCTCTCTCTCCTACCTGTCTGTCTGTCTCTATCTCCCCATTCAAGAAAGCAATATAAAACTATGACAATTTTGTAGAAATTTTGGGGAAAAAAACAATTTAAGGTCTCATTAAGACAAATAAGATATAAATTATATATAAAATGAACAGTAATTAGCTAGTCATAACAGTAGTAAATAAGCAGGCAGGTACAAAAGTATGACAGTTGTTATTAAGATGGTGATTTCAAAGGATTTACTTGCAAATTAAAAACCAGTGATCTAAAGGAAAGTCACAGTCAAAATCAAAAGTGAAGGCCCAAACATTTGAAAGAAAAATGAGAAAGTGTATACAGCAGAAAAGCCCATACAAACTGTATAAGAAACATTAAACAATGGAAAAAGTAATGGAATAAAGGAAGTGAGTAGAAAATGCACAAAATAAAAGTATAAACAAACTTAGGGCAAAATGTCCATATTCACTCATAAAAAACAAAGTAGAAGTTATCAAACTTATCCTATAGAAGTTGAACGTTTTAATTTAAAGAACAAACAAAACATTCCCAGTGTGGATATAGAGGCACTTATATGGCTTCCCCACCTAAATGACGTGTCAGATTAAGGCCTTGGCACGCTGAACATTCTCATCTAGGAGACTATACTACAGTTGACCCTTGAACATAGGGGTTAGAGGGGACAATACCACCCCCTCCCCCGCCCCCCACTGAAAATCTGTGTGCAACTTTACAGTTGGACCTCCATATCTGCAGTTCTGCATCCACAGATTCAACCAACCCCAGGTCATGCAATACTGTAATACACATTTATTTTTTTAAACCCATGTATAAATGGACCCATGCAGTTTAAACCTATGTTGTTCAAGGGTCAACTGTATAAACAACTGAAGTGTAATCTTAAGATTTCTGTTAAAAGTCAGCCATAATTGTTCCCAAATTTGTTTATGCCAGTTCTTTCCCCTTCAAGAAACTGAAAGACAACCATTTCTATCTATGAAAACTAGGTTCAGTGCTTTGCAAGTTCTGGCTAGGGATGCACATTGCATTGTTCTCAAAATAGGCATGAGTGAGAAAATAGTAAAGATTGATGGGAAATGTAAAAAGTCATGAAGGATTGTGCACACAGTTTGCTTTACAAGTATCTTTAGATTCTTGTTCTACTTTAAATAAATTGAAACTGGAAATAATAACCTATGCATTATATGTATGATTTAATCAAGAAAAAACTGACTGGACCAACTCTAAAACAAAAGGCCAAACTAAACATCAAGAGACATATATAAAATATTTAACTACTCAAAATTAATAAACCAAATATTAGTTTGTATTCTACTGAATCAAAGGACTTTATTCTAGTAAATAATGCTAATGTGAAAGCAAAATATTAACCCATCTTAAAGCAATGTAAAAGGAGAAATATTATTTCCATTTGCAGGATACTAGCTTTAATTAAAAAGAAAATATGAAGTAAATTACCTGTTCATAGAGTTAATTAGTTTCCTGAGATATGATGTCTTCAATAACCTTTGCTGATACAAGATGATATGGATACAGAATATTTATGACAGAGGCAGTTTTAGGCACATTAACACCAGGGTAAATGCAACCAGAGATGTTAAAACCCTATAACCACAGAACTGTACTTCTGAAAATCAAAACTGATCAAATATGGGGTTGGCCTAAAGGTTCATTCCAGTTTCTCCATAAGATGTTACAGAAAAACCCAAATGAACTTTTTGGCCAACTCAATATTAAATAATCCATACTGAATTCCAAATAACCTTCACATCCTGCTGATAATTTTACTGCTAATTTCATCAAGAAATCAGAAGCAATTTAAAGAAAAATGTTATTCTCCCCTTCACTATGTTATCGAACCAACCTGTGTCCATATTCTTATCATATGCATTGGTTTTCCTTCATAAATTGACTCCTACCCATTTACTGAAAGTCATTGCTTACAGAATTCCCTCTTTCTCTACTCCATCAATTTTCCCTCTTTGAAATCATTCCCTTCAGCCTATATACATGTTCTAATACCTCATCACATCTTAAGATACTTTCCCTGTACCCCATGTGTCTGCTTTTATGGCAAAATTCCTCCAAGAGTTATATATATTTATTTTCATCACTGCCTCACTTCTCACTTTCTTTTCATCTCCCAATAACTTTAAAAGAAACAAAATTTTATTACAGAGCATATATGACATACACAAAAGGAGAAGAGTAATTATAAATGTCCATGTATCTATGGCCAGCCTCAGCAACCACCAACCAAGCCCAGTACTGGCCTATGCAGACCCTAATCCACTCTCCTCACATTTTCTGAAGCAAATCCCATAATCTAATGTTTTTTGTTATCACTTCAGGATGTATCTCTAAAAGGATTTAAAAAAATAATCATAATACCATTATCCAAACCTGAAAAAATAACAGTAATTCTTTAAGAACATCAAAAATCAGTGTTCACACTTCCAATTATCTCATACATAAAATTTTAAACAATTTAAAAATAATAACTGATCCAAAGTCCATAATGTTCAATGGTTGACATGTCTTCTACATGTCTAAAACCTACAGACTGTCCTACTATCTTTTAAAAATATTTATTTATTTATTTATTTATTTACGGCTGCATTGGGTCTTCGTTGCTGCACGCAAGCAGGTGCTACTCTTCGTTGTGGTGCACGGGCTTCTCATTTCAGTGGCTTCTCTTGCCACGGAGCATGGGCTGTAGGCGTGCAGGCTCAGTAATTGTGGCACATGGGCTTAGTTGCTCTGCGGCATGTGGGATCTTCCCGGACCAGGGATCGAACCCATGTCCCCCGCATTGGCAGGCAGATTCTTAATCACTGCGCTGCCAGGGAAGTCCCTGTCCTACTATCTTTTGATTTCCCTTACAATTTATTTGTTGAAGAACTGTTTTTGACCCTATAGCATTTCTCATATTCTGAATTTTGCTGACTATATTCCCAAGGTGTAATAGAACATGCTCCTCTATCTTCCTCCAATAAACTGGTGGCTTTAGAAGCTCCATTAGACTTAGGCCCACTTCATAGGTCATATTGTATCCTTTCATTCACCCCTTCATTCATTGTCTCTATTTCTGTGATGCTATCAGCACTGATGTTCAGTGCCTAGATCCAATAGCTCACTATGGGTTCCAAAGTGATAATATTCTATCATTCTTCATTTATTCACTGAATACTTTTATTAAGAAAAACATCCCTCCATCTATTACCTATTGGTACAGTTCCTACAAGGAAGACAGGATAAACGCTTCTTTTTTCCTTTAAATTTATGCTTTCCAAATAAGTTAGTTCTCTAGTAGTTTCCAATGGTGAACAATCTGCTGTTAGCATCATTAAGAATTTATGGAATTAAGCATGTGGTATTTTATGTGGTTGCAATACACTGCAGTTATGTATACAGATGCTCAAATGATTCCATCTTTGACAAGTTGAAGAGCCTCTGCTAACTGGTTCTTCTTCCCTGACCACGCTATCTAAAATTACCCCATTAACCCACCATAATTCTCCATATTCTTATCCTACTCACTTTTCTTTATAATACTTAATCACTTCATGATATTTAGTAATCCACTTGTTTGTTGTATGATTACCCTACTACAACGTAAACTCCATGAAAAGAAGGCAATGAAGAAATACATACATAAAAGCCAAATACAAAAGATGAGCTAGGAAGAAATTAGATGCAAAATACAGGTAAAATGGTGGTCTTTGGTGAAGAAAGCTTTCCCCCATTGAAATGAGAAAGAAACATGACAGTGAAGAATGAAGAGGTAAATGGAAGTAAAGATGAAATTTCTTTGGTGGTTCAGGCTGAAATCTAAGTTTTCTTCCCAGGTTTCAGGTCTCTCCTTCATAATCAACATCTAAGTGGTGTGTCTCCTTCCCAACAAGCAGGAATATGCCATGCCACAATAGCTTACCTTTCCTTATTGGCACTTACTCACCTAGGCTCCGTCTTCTTTTCTCATCCCTCACAACCATCCAGGGTTCTTTCCCTTGCTCTAACAGAGTAATTACATCTGGTTTAGAAACGGAACATCCTCCTTGAGAAAACAATACAGAAAGGATATACTTGACTAAGCCTTCAGAACAAAGAAGAGTAAATGAACAGAAAAACACTGATATTAGAGCTACTTCAGGATCACAAGAACAGAGAGATAGGAATAGTGCCTTATTTTAATTGCCAATTCATACAGCCTCTGTCTCTTGAGAAAGTAATCACTGACAGCAGTGGTTTCAAATCCTGCCTCTGTCACCTGAACAACTTACGGCCTCAGTTTTCTCAGTTGGAAAAATAATATATATCCATATGTAAATAATATATAATAATATATAAAATAATACATAAAAATATATAAAATAATAATGTATACCATTATTATAATAATGTATAGGACTGTGTGAGGTTTGACTTAATAAACAAAGTGCTTGGATGAGTGCCTAGTACATAGTAAGCACTATACATGTTTATTAGGTACTATTTTTGCTTTTCTTTAAATACTTTGCTAAAAGGAATATAGTTTCTTGCCAGTATATTCATCCAATGTTAAATGCAAAGTTCATATATTTTAAACTTTTAATCATAAATCAATTAAAAGATAATGTTTGTTGCAATAAATTGAATGTGTCCACTTGAGTTTTTACAAACTACCGATTTAACCCAGTATCATATACACTGTATAAGCTTTTTCAATAGGTATGTAGAGCCAGACCCCTCTGTCTTCCTACTCACATTGCAGGTAAGTTAATAGATAATAGACCATCTACAGCAGTACGAAACCAGATTTCTTTGAAAATGGTTTTGCTCTGAGCGTCTAAGAATTTATATCAAACTGTCATTGAAGAGAAGCAATTATGGAAAAGGCAAAGGAAAATGTAAATGTCACTGATTTATGGGGAAGTTAAAGGTGCTATTTAATACTTTAACAGCTGAAGGTGCCTATTCCAAAACTACAAAGCAGATATTTGGCTAGCTTTTAGAAGGATAGCCCTGAAATTCAGTCATGTGAATTTCTACATTACTTGACACAGATAAACTTACCCAGCGACACCAGGTTGCTATAGTTCTCTAATATCACATCTCTGTACAAATTCCTCTGATTTGAGTTCAGACATTCCCACTCTTCCTGAGAAAAGTCTACAGTTACATCTCTGAACATCACCAAATCCTGAAATGACAAACCCATGTTTTATTTGTAAAATTATTTATTTCTGTATAGGGCCACATGCCACATATTGTCACTATTTGTATATCCTTCTCCTTTCCCTACTTTTTTAAAACAATTCTTTCAAAAAGTAATTAACTCATAGATTGTACAAAAACAGGCCATGGGTTGAATCTGGCTCACAAGCTGTAGTTTGCCTACTACTGCTACAGACGAAACTTCCTATATAACTGTGGGATACCTAATTTTACTTATTTCCAGATACGTTCAGGTAATTAATCAGAGTTTCACTAAATTGTAGCAATATTTTCTTAGATCAGTCTCCAACAGCAAAAGAAATAGAAGCAAAAACAAACAAATGGGACCTAATCAAACTTAAAAGCTTTTGCACAGTAAAGGAAACCATCAATCTTCTGTTGATGGGCACAAAAGCAAACAAAACAAAAAGACAGCCTACCAAATGGGAGAAAATATTTGCAAACGAAGTGACCGACAAGGAGTTGATATACAAAAAATACAAACAGCTCATACAACTCAGTACCAAAAAAACAAACAACCAAATCAAAAATGGGCAGAAGACCTAAATAGACGTTTCTCCAAAGAAGACATCCAGATGGCCAATAGGCACATGAAAAGATGCTCAGCATCACCACTTATTAGAGAAATGCAAATCAAAACCAGAATGAGGTATCACCTCACACCAGTCAGAATGATTATCATCCAAAAGTCTACAAATAATAAATGCTAGAGAGGGTGTGGAGAAAAGGGAACCCTCCTACACTGTTGGTGGGAATGTAAATTGGTGCAGCCACTATGGAGAACAGAATGGAGGTTCCTTAAAAAACTAAAAATAGAGCTACCATATGATCTAGCAATCCCACTCCTGGGTATATATCTGGAGAAAACAAAAACTCGAAAATACAAAAATTTGAAAAGATACATGAACCCCAATGTTCACAGCAGCACTATTTACAATAGCCGAAACATGGAAAACAACTCAAGTGCTGATCAACAGAAGACTGGCTTAAGTTGTACAACTGAATGCTAGCCATAAAAAAGACTGAAATTTTGTCATTTGCAGCAACATGGATGAATCTAGAGAATATCACACTAAGTGAAGTAAATCAGAGAAAGACAAATACTATATGATATCACTAATATGTGTAATCTAAAAAAATAATACAAATGAATTACATACAAAACAGAAACAAACTTATGGTTACCAAAGGGGAGGGGGAGGGAGGGAGAGACAAATTAGGAGTACTAACAGGTACAAACTACTCTATATACATAAAATAGATAAGCAACAGGATTTACTATATATCACAGGGAATTATATTCATTATCTTGTAATAACCTATAATAGAATATAACCTGAAAAAAATAATTGAATCACTTTGCTGTACACCTTAAACTAACACAATATTGTAAATAAAAAAGAAAAAAATTTCACAATTAATTGAAATAGTGTCCATAAAAATACTGCTAGCAACGGGCCTAAAAAAAATAAATGTGATTTACTATAGGGACTTCCCTGGCGGTCCAGTGGTTAAGACTCCACACTCCCACTGCAGGGGGCATGGGTTCAAAACCTGGTTGGGGAGGGTAAGATCCCACATGCTGCAAGGTGCGGCCAAAAACAGAAATGTGATTTACTCTAACCTCTTTCCCTTTAAGGGTTAGAAAAAAATAATCAATGGAATTTTTCCCCCCCAGATGAACCATAAAATCTCTATTTTTAAAAAGTAGAGTTTGCACAAAATTAAAGAATTTATTCCAGACCCAATTTCATCACTATATGTATCATTAGCACTTTCCCTTATTATAACAAATCTTTTTTTTTTTTTTTTCTTTCGGTATGTGGGCCTCTCACTGCTGTGGCCTCTCCCGTTGCGGAGCACAGGCTCCAGATGCGCAGGCTCAGCGGCCATGGCTCACGGGTCCAGCCGCTCCATGGCATGTGGGATCTTCCCGGACGGGGGCACGAACCCGTGTCCCCTGCATCGGCAGGTGGACTCTCAACCACTGCGCCACCAGGGAAGCCCTATAACAAATCTTTTATTGAATATTTTAAACTTATTATAAAATACTCCATTTAATAGATATGTTGGACTTAATAATGATTCTATTTAGATTATTTCTATACTCTTAAACATATTAAATTATATTTACAATTTAGGTTACACAAAATTTCTAAAGCTACAATGTCCAATATGCTACCTTAGACACGTGGTTACTGAGCACTTGAACTGTAGCTAGTACAAATTTAGATGTGCTGTAACTATAAAATATACACCAGATATTGAAGACTTTAGAGAAAAAAAAGAAGAATGTAAAATACCTCAATAATTTTTATACTGATTACATTTTGAAATGATAGTATTTTGCTATATTGGGTTAAATAAAGCATTAAAATTAACTGCACATTTCTTTTTAAAATATGACTCTAGAGACTTCCCTAGTGGCACACTGGTTAAGAATCTGCCTGCCAATGCAAGGGACACTGGTTGCAGCCCTGGTCTGGGAAGATCCTACATGCAGCGGAGCAACTAAGCCCATGTGCCACAACTACTGAGCCTGCACTCTAGAACCCTTGAGCCACAACTACTGAGCCCATGTGCAGCAACTACTGAAGCCCACGCGCCTAGAGCCTGTGCTCTGCAACAAGAGAAGCCACCGCAATGAGAAGCCTGCGCACCACAAGGAAGAGTAGTCCCTGCTCGCCAAAACACTAGAGAAAGGCCCGCGTGCAGCAACGAAGACCCAAGGCAGCCAAATAAAATAAAATTAATTAATTAAAAAAAATTTTTTAATAATAAATAAATCGTGACACAAAAGATTACATATGTGCCTTGCATATTATTCTCTACTTATTATGAGACTGACATGAGGCCTACTGTGCTAATAAGGCACTAATTTCGTATTTTTAATATTGGACAGTGCTGCTCTAACGTGTTCTCCAGTCCTGAGAGTCTCCTATCAGTTGTCTCCCTCTAGGGACTTCATTTCTGCTTTATCTCTGCTCTAGACAAAGAATGAACACACAGGAGACCTTGAGTAATTTGGTCAATTCACACAGAGAGGGGCTCACAGGAGGGGCCAGGCTGTCTGGCTCCATCCTTCACTAGAGTGGGAGCAACTAGGGAAAAGCTGTCGGATGGGGCTCTGTTAGGAAGTTTTGGGATAATTAATGAAAATGCTTACATAACCTGAAAACAATTACAGCATTTCAAATAGAGAGAAATATCAACTTACATGAGCCATGATTTCAGATTTGCAAGAAACTGGTTAGTTTTTCTCAAGGGTCATTTGCTGGAGAAGCAGAGTCCACAGAAGCTAAGAGCTGGGGGAAGAATATGAAGCCATAAGAACAAAATTGCCTCACAGCTCCCAAATTTTAAAAACTCACACCACTTTTCCATTCCTACAGGCAACACCCCTCTACCCGCCCCTCCCAACACACAAACAAGTGATGAAAGGTAAGAGGTAATTTAGACAAATACATGCCCTCCCCAAAATGACAGGAAAATCGTTGCACAAGGATAGACATAAGGCAGACTCCCCTGCATGGTAGGACATATCCTGCCATTTTAGCAGGAGAGATTCCAGTTACTTCCCCACCCCAGCGAGGCCCATCTGGACCTGAGCATAGGCTGTCCAGACCTGTCCTGAGCAGAGCCATCTCCCCTCGTTCCCACCTTCCCCAGCTGAGAAGTGGCTACATCATCTAAACCAGAACTTCCTTCTTAGAGTCAGGAATCTGACTTGCCTCCCTAATCCTGAAGGCAGAAAACAGTACAGACAAGAATTTCCCAAACTTTGCCACACACTGGAATCACGAGCAGATCTTTAAAGTATACTGATGCCTAACTCCCATCCCCCAAACATTCTGATTTAATTAGCAGGGATTGTGACCCGGGAATCAGAATTTTTAAACCTTCCCCAAGTGATCATAATGGGCAGGTTTGGTAACGAAACTTTGTATGCATCAGATCACCTGAAAGGCTTATTAAAATACAGTTTGCAGGCCCCCACTCCTCAAGGTTGGCATTTACTAGGTCTGGGGTTGGGCTTGAGAATTTGCCTTTCGAAAAAATTCCTAAGTTGATACCGATGCTGCTGGTCCAAATGCCACAATTTGAGAATCACTTGCACAGATCATGCCTAGCAGTTTTTATAATGGCAAGACTGTACTTGCACACTGGGATCCCATCCTCAAGGCTGAACTATCTTTCCCAGAATCCTCAGAGCTCACTGTTCACCAGTTTCCTATTAAGAATCATCAATACTGCCTACATGATCTCATTTACCAACCCAATTCTCCTGGTATCCAGGCTGGGGAAAAGTGAATTTGTAAAAGTGAGTACAGATAATTCTCTAGAAAGTAGAAATAACCCACTAGTTGAAACTGACTAGTAACTAAGGAGTTGAATTTAAAGGAATTTGATTAGCAGATTTTAAAAACTGATAATACTGCAGAGTATCACTAAGGCTGTGGAGAAATGGACACTTGTAGTATGAAGTAGAAAGAATGAAATGATATGTGGAAAATGGTTATAATGGGGCCCAAAAAGCCAGAAAGAACCTAAATATCCTTCAACAAGGTTAAATAAATTATCATGCATTCACACAACAGAAAACTAAACACCCACTAAAAATACAAAGGTAAAATTCTTATTTGATGTCATGGAAAGGTGGTCACTACATATTGTTGGGAGAAGAAGATAGTTTAGAAAATAGTATTGTGTGTGATTCTATTTTTGGCAAGAAAACTACATACATATGCATACATGTATTTATTATGCATGTGCATGAAAGTCTGTGGATGGACTTGGAATAAAATTTTATCATGTTACCTCTACTGGATGGTATCCCAGGTGATCTTTATTTTGTTCTCCTCTGGAGTCTCTTAATTTTTTAATCAAAAAATTTTTAATTTGTATCACTTGTACCTGGCCATAAATTTAAAACAGCCCTACAAGGAATATCACAAAAAGCCCCAACAATTCCATCCCTGCTACTCTTTCTTTCTCCCATCTTCCAAATCTAGAGGCAACAATTTTCACCTCTTTTAGCTTTTTCTTTTGTTACTTAAACACCATATATTCAAATAACATGCTAATATTGCTACTTCTGAATTTTCAGTTTTAACCATTATCTACTGACTTCCTACTATGGAAAGCATAGTTCTGGCTATCTTTTATCCACCCATCTCCCACTGCACGTATGCGTAGCTCCATCTCCCTATCCTTCCAATATGGTTTTGTTCTATTACAGCGTAAATGGATATTCAATTTCCATTATTATGACTATGTAAATACCATTTCCAACTGAGCTATACAGTATAATTAGATTATTTCGCCTTCCTTTCCCAAGTCTTCTCTGAGGTTAAAATAATTTTGTTTTTTGTAAGATTATCATTAATTCATTTCTCAAACTCTCACTCAAATGAAGGATCAGGAGGATGAAGCTTCTGGCATAAAATAGCAGAACTGTCCATTTCATATTCTAAGACTTTCAGAAATTCAGCCAAATACTTCAGAGTTATCACCTGAACCCCAACTTGGCAAAAGTCAATGCCATGTTCCTAAATGTTCCTACCTCTGAAATCCCACGTGACCTTGAAGTGAAAAGCTGATTAAGTAATAGGACCTAAGAAAGGCTGTTTAAGGAATTGCTTTAGGCAGTTTTGAACATCACTTCCCAACAACTGATTTCTTAAATAATTTATAAAACATCCACAAAATAAAGTAATCATTAAATGCTAAGTTTTAGAAAACTGTTAAGGAATGGAAAATATCCAAGAAACACATAAAAAAAAAATCAGTTTAAAAAATATATAGGGCTTCCCTGGTGGCGCAGTGGTTGAGAGTCCGCCTGCCGATGCAGGGGACGCGGGTTCGTGCCCCGGTTCAGGAAGATCCCACATGCCGCGGAGAGGCTGGGCCCGTGAGCCATGGCCGCTGAGCCTGCGCGTCCGGAGCCTGTGCTCCGCAACGGGAGAGGCCACAACAGTGAGAGGCCCGCGAACCGCAAAAAAAAAAAAAAAAGCTATTCCCATTAAAAATAATTTTTTAATGATTTGGGAAGGTGGATACCTTATAGTCATTAAAAAAACTGATTAAATAGGCCTGCATAAGTGGTAACAACAGGGAAATCAATGTCACTGAAAAAATAATTCTTACCAGTTCTTCAATGTTGTAGTTCATTAACACCCAGAGATCCTTCTGTGAAGGATCACAAAGCTGGTTCGTGACATTTCTAAAGATTAAGAGACAGTATGCACAGCAGACAGAAAAAAATGCTTATTTCACAGCAGCTGCTCAATCGTTTGAGTTAACCCCTCCCGCATGCCAACGAATAACCAATTATTAAGTCCTTGCAAAAGATCTTGTTAATCCTTACCTTAGCGTTCAGGACACATATGTAACTTAACAATCTCTTAAAAATTTTTTTATTCAGAACAATAAGTACTTCCCAATATTACATTATATGTTTTTTTCTTGTGACTTTATAAACATAATCTTTATTATCGCATAACATTCCATCACAATTCCATCACAATTGCTAGATACTAATTTTTTAAGATTATCCCAAAAGTCATTCCCAGTTATCCCAGACTCTGATTCTAGACCAGTAAGAATCAATCTTGTTGGGTCTTATACAACTCTGATAATATGAAATGATAGACTTCTTCCCCCAAATTACCCATTGACAAATATATACAATATTTCTGTATATATCTTAGATTTTTCTTGTCCTGAAAACTCATAAACAGAGTCCAAAGACTTCATATTAAGAATCCCTGTTCTGGTCCACCTGAGCGGGATTCATTTTCCTGCTTGCAAGTATTCATCCTAATTAACTTCACGTTTCCATTATTCTTGGGAATATACAAAGTCGATAGGGAAAGACTAAGAATCATCACTAACGGCAACAGCTAATATTAATTAAGCACTCTTCTAATGTGCCAGGTAATCTTCTAAGAGGTTTAACGGATACTAATTCAGGTAATCTTCAAAACAACCCTGTGAGGTATGTAATAATTCCGATTTTACATATTAAGAAACTGCAACACAGAAAGACTGCCCAAACTCACTCAGATTTAAGTGGTTGTCAGGATTAAAACCCTCTAGGTTCAAAATTTTCAACCACTACACACACCTCTCTTCCTCTATCCAAAGACATACCCAAAACAAACTACAAACTTTCAGTTATAAGATAAATAAGTTCTGAAGACCTAATGCACAGCATGGTTACCATAGATAATAATAATAATGTATTATATACTAGACATTTGTCAAGAGAGTATATCTTAAGTATTCGTGTCACACACACAAAAAAAGGTAACTAAGAGAGGTAATGGATATGTTAACTAGTCGGTGTGGTTAGCATTCCATTCCACAATGTGTACATATATGAAAACATCATGTTGTACACCTTAAATATATACAATTTTTCATTTGTCAAAAATAAATAAAACAAACTCATGCTATCAAACCTCTAACTACATCAGGCTGGTACCAAAAATTTCCACTCATGGATTCCCTTGGGGAAAAAAAAAAAAATCCCCACTCCTACTCCGTAATAATTACAGATGTCTAAAGCCCTAAACTACTACTCAACAAATCACAGTCAAAAAGAAAACATAGGGCTTCCCTGGTGGCGCAGTGGTTGAGAGTCCGCCTGCCGATGCAGGGGACACGGGTTCGTGCCCCGGTCTGGGAGGATTCCACGTGCCGCGGAGCGGCTGCGCCCGTGAGCCATGGCCGCTGAGCCTGCGCGTCCGCAGCCTGTGCTCCGCAACGGGAGAGGCCACAACAGTGAGAGGCCCGCATACCGCAAAAAAAAAGAAAACATAAACGTTAACTTCCAATAGGACTATTTCCATCATTAGAATCCTTGGAAAAGCTGTGCTCACAGAGCAACTTAATTTATAGCACATGGTTAACTAACTGCAGAACTTAATTAAGTGGGCACTAGAATGGGGAATCTACAAATTAGGTCCCTGCCCTTAATGAGGTAGAGAAATCCTCAGGCCCAAATCAATAAGTAGATCATTCTTTTAAGCAGGATATTCCAAGGGAAGGAAATAAAAAAATCTCGTGTCCTGAAAACCAAATGCATTTCACGGAAACAAAGAAGCAGCACAAACTCACAAAGAACCTGGCTTTTAGAGCTGCAGCGGCGATTCGGTTCACTTCACAGGCCTCCTCTGGAGACTGACGGGCTGGGGAAGCAAACAGGGTTCATTACACCGCAGGCGTTTCTTGTCTCGGTCAACAAACGTCCACGTCCCCTTGACCCTCGCTACCCACCACCTGCATACAGGAAATGGAAACAGGGAGACGGAAGAAGGTCCTTGGTCACCCTTGTCCGGGTTCGCGGCTCTGGGTCCGCTGTAGTTCCGATACCACAACCGCCCACCACCGGGGCTGCCCACCGCGTCTTTGCAGGGCACTTTCACCCAGAGGCTCCACCTCCCACTTCCCTCCCAGACCTTTCCTCTACGCCCGGGCCTGGGTAGGTGAGGCAAGGAAAGTGAAGCGCAGGACCTCCGGGTCGCGCATTACAGAATAGGCCGGGGAGGCGCCCGATTACCGCCGCCAGAGCTTAACCGCGCGGCGCCCGGCCTCAGAACTACAAGCCCTCACTCCGGAGGAAACGCACAGTGGCCTGAGGCCCTCGATCTCGTCCGCAGAACCTGGCCTGTCCCGCGCTCGTTTCCTTCAGAAGAGAAGCGGCCGCCTCCGAGCCTGCCTCACCGCCCTCAAGGCCTCGCCTGCCTCGGAGGACAGTCCAGCGCCCAAGACGTAGGCGCTGGAACTCCGGGGAGTTCCTTCTCAGTCCCGGGTGCGCAGGCGCGCAGGGGGCGGGGGCAAGTCCCCAGGCTCCTTGCTTAGCGCTTGGAGAGACGGATGGGGCCAGATCCCCGTGGGGCGGGGCGGGCAGAGAAGCAGGGTTTCCTAATAGGCCGGCTCACCGCCTGTAAAGGTGACCTTGTGAGTGACCCATGCTATCGAGCTGACCTGCTCCCCTATTGGAACTGTAGTCCAAAATCAGAGCAACTGTATATCCCGCTTTTTCTCACTTGGTTCTTGGCTCTGCAACGGGCGCAGGCCCGGAGCTCCGCCCCCACCCACGAGAGTCCTGCGCTCAGGCTCCTGGGAGGTGCTGTTTCTGTCCCGCGTGCGCAAGCGCATGGGTGGACCCGTTCGAACCTGGGGTTCTCCGTGGGGCTGAGGATGCTCTTGCGGCGACACACGTTGAGGGCTGGAGGGTGGGATGAGTAAGGGGGGCCGGTATGAAGAGGTTGGGGCCAGGATTCCAAGTTGGTCTAGGGTGTCCAGATCTTTAGGCTTTTAAGAGTGATTGTGATATCCCAGTGCCCCAAGCATGGTCCCTGTGATATTTGCCAAGGGACTGGCGTTGGCGTGGTGCCCCGTGCGCCTGAGTGTGTGATCATGGATGGGGTTGTGTTTTCATGCATGGAGTTGTTTACTGAGTGTGTGCCACTCATTGGATGCTGGACTGAAATGGTGCTACAGAGAAATGAAACTAAGCAGGACCCTGTGGGGCCCTCCTGGCTGCAAAACCCTTTCAGTTTCAGCCTCCTACAACTTTCCAGAGTACCAAAGGGCAGATTGAAACAGTTGCTAATCAGAAAAGTGAGGCAATGCAGAAACAAAGGAGAAGCAAATCAAGAAATGACAGTGCAGGGACTTCCCTGGTGGCACAGTGGTTAAGAATCCTCCTGCCAATGCAGGGGACACGGGTTTGAGCCCTGCTCCAGGAAGATCCCACATGCCACGGAGCAGCTAAGCCCGTGTGCCACAACTACTGAGCCCACGTGCCACAACTACTGAAGCCGGCACGCCTAGAGCCCATGCCCCACAATAGGAGCAGCTACCGCAATGAGAAACCTGCACACCACAACAAAGAGTAGCCCCCGCTCGCCGCAACTAGAGAAAGGCGCACGCAGCAACGAGGACCCAATGTGATGAAAAATAAATAAAATAAAATTTTAAAAAAAAGTGCAGCAGTAAAACAGAGTGCTAGTCCTTCCTCGAGGAATACACATAATAATATATCTTTGAGTTCTTCTGCAGGAACTAAACCCACCCCCACCCCCCCGCCACCCAGTTGGAGGATGGCAATTTCAGGCTGAGCACAAATGTCCTGGGACACTGTCCTGTTCTCTCACCACCAACCGATCAGAAGAAAGTCACACACCATGCAGCCCTCACCCCAAATTTTGCCTATAAAAACTTCTCCCAGAAAACCATTAGGGAGTTTGGGGTTTCTGAGCACGAGCCACCTGTTCTACTTGCTTGTCCCTGCAATAAACCTTTCTTTGTTCCGACGTTTCGGTTTGGCCTCACGGTGCTTTGGGTGCACAAACTTGTGTTGGACGACAGAAGGTTGCATGCTATTACGCTGGACTGTGACGCCGAGTTTAGGGGTGTCTGGTTGTGTCGAGGAGGAGGAAATTTTCCTCCATGCTTCCAAGTTCTGTCTGGTCTTGTTACCTGAAAACTGGGTTCGCCTCTTGGTGGGTGTCGAGCCAAAAGACACAACCAAGCCAAAGGTCGGGAGAAGGGAGGAATTCTTACTTGCAGCATGTAAGGAGAACACTGGGATGTTTCCCAATGTAGTGTCTCCCTAAACAGCAAAATTGGGGAAGTTTTAAGTTAAGGGTACATGCATATTCATGAAGAGGCTTGAGCAGAGGAGAATTCAACATAGAATTGGGGCAAAGGTCAACAGAGTCCAAGCTTTAGTTGACTGGTCAACGTCATCATTCTGTCCCCCACCTCAGGTGGTGGGGCCTTAATTCCTGCAGAACTCAAAGATATGTTATTATGCATATCTGAGGCAGGAGACAGATGGGCTTCAGGCTAGGCATTTACAACTGACCTCCTGTTTACATTTCTTGGGGCAGAAAAAGATGCCTTCAGACTGGACACTTAGAACTAGCCTTCTGTTTGCACTTCCTGAGACCGGAGATAGATGGGCTCCAGGTTAGATACTTACACCCAGTCTCCTGTTTGTACTTCGAAATAGAAACAACAACAGAAACAGGGTAAATAGCCAGGCTTTGTCTCCTGAGGACACTTGAAGATAACGGTCATGGCAGGAACAGAGAGGGGCTAAACCCTGTCTGAGTAAAGGATCAAGAGGTCATAGATCTCCCATCCTTGGGGCAACAGAGACATTGCACATGCACAGAAAGGCTCCTCAGGGTCAAAAAGGAGTGGTCACCACCCCAGAATAGGTGGTGCCAAGGCCTCCCACAGGCCTCTGGGCTGGAATCCATCTTGGAAAAAAGTTGCACACATATGTTGGGGAGGGTCCTAGGGCAGGTCAGGTGTGGAAAAAGAAACCATATAGTTGGCCAAAGGTAAACAAGGACCCAGAAGAAGTGCCATATATAAATGATTTAACCGCCTCTTTACTGCACTCTTCATTAGAGAGGATGACCACATCCTTTCTCTCTGGGTGTGTATCTCTGCCCTGCTTCTGTCTTAGCTAAACAAACTGTTTCTCTGTGTGCTGTCCCACTTGTTGTGCTGTGTCTCTAATAATAAACTTTGTACCGGTTTTTACAGTTTTTGCCTCGAGAAATGCATTTTTCAATGGAGGTAAGAGCCAGGGAAATTTTGCTTCTAGCCTCTAGCCCTTGCTGGTTTAGTGGCTAGGATTCCTGGTTTTCATCCAGGCTACCCAGGTTCAATTCCTGGGCAGGGAACTAAGATCTTGCTTCACGCCACCGCTCACTGCTGCTGCCTCTCCAATATCATATCCCTTGAGGAGGAACTAGGACTCTGTTTTATCACTACACTATTGTTTGACTGCCTTTTCTCTGTTCCTACATTCCTTTGTTCCCTTAAGATCATTTATTACTTAGCCTGTTCAAGAGCAAGTATTGTGGCGAGGCTCAGATCACAAAATGGCTTAGGCCAAAATTGCCCCTCTTATGTCAAGAAAGCCATTCCTGGTTCTCTTTCTCCAGGGACCCCTTACCCTATCTGCTTACAGTCTAAGAGTTAAGTTGACATGAGACACGTTAACAGAATAAAATCAAACAAAATTTTAATAACATGTATACTTGGGAGAGATCCAGGAAAACTAAGTAACTTGCCAAAATAGCTGAAGCCCTTCAGCTAAAGACAAAAGAGGATGTTGGGGGTAGTGGTTTGGGACTTCAAAGGGAAAGAAGGCAATTCACACGGAAAAGCAAACATTTGGTAAGCAGATGTTTGCTGAGCTACTCAGAAACAATGGGACTTGTAGTAGACTCATCTCCAGCCCCTGCCAAGAGTTTCCCCACCACACTTAGCCCCTGTTCTTTGCAGATATCTCGTGAGATATCTGCTCTATTCTGGGAACAGCCCTTTATCTAAACTCTTTAGGCAGCTCAGGAGGAGGTAAAAAGAAAAACTTCCCGAGTCTTCTGTTTCTTAAAAATAATCTGCCTCAATTAATCCTCATGCCAAAGATACACATTTTGGCGTGGCAAAGTTCGCTGCCCTACAGTTGCTTCCTTGTGAAGTGCCTGAGATTATGTGTATCTATGAAGACTGTGCCCTGAAGGAAACCACATTATGTCACCCCAACATATGCCTCTTTGACATAAAAATAGTTTTAAGGGCTTCCCTGGTGGCGCAGTGGTTAAGGATCCGCCTGCCAATGCAGGAGACAAGGGTTCGAGCCCTGGTCCAGGAAGATGCCACAGAGCAACTAAGCCCATGCGCCACAACTACTGAGCCTGCGCTCTAGAGCCCGCGAGCCACAACTACTGAAGCCCGCATGCCTAGAGCCCGTGCTCTGCAACAAGAGAAGCCACCGCAATGAGAAGCCCACGCACCACAACGAAGAGTAGCTCCCGCTCACCTCAACTAGAGAAAGCCCACACGCAGCAATGAAGACCAAACGCAGCCAAAAATAAAAATAAATTAATAAATAAAAATTAAAAAAAAGAACAGTTTTGAGCCAAGGGCAATTTAGAAGCGTCAAATGCAGGAAAAGCTCTCTCTACCCTCCCCCATTTCTGCCTAAAAGCAGGATATAAATTCTCCTTTACTGGAGACAACTCTAGATTCTTAGCCCATAGATGGCACCAAAGGAATCTACAAATAAACTTTACTCCATTAGTTTCCTCCCACAGTTTGCCACCCTTGGAAGCTGAAAACTGCTTTTCTTTATCCTGTCATTTCTCTATAAATTTATGTTCTTTGTTGAAGATGCTATAAAAGATGGAGTTCTAAGCCATACTTTGAATTGCTCTTGTTAAGGCTTTCCCATATGACATGTGAACACAAATTAATAAATTGTTTTTCTCCTGTTAATCTTTTTTAAAGGGCCCCTGCTGAGAACGTAAGATGGCTAGAGGTAAGATTTTTCTTCTCTTATAGCCCTATTGTGTGTTATTTCTGGGATGGTTTTGACAGGCCAGCACTTCTGGTTCTTGCTTTCCATGGGCACTGTGTTTGAGGGTCACTGTGTTACTGGGTGTTAGATTTTTGATGATCAGTGTCTTAAGTGTACCCTCAGGAATGTGGTGCTTTGGCAGTTGGATGAGTAATTACAAGCACAAACAACATTGGAAAAGAAGAGGCAAGGTTATCATTATTGCTGAGACCTAGAATTGTAGGAGTATACTGATGAAAGAGATTTTCACACATTGAGGTATGGGGAAATTATTCTGGCTTATACATGATTTAACTCAAATTTTATGCTAACTAAAACAGGCTGTTTGTGGCCTATCAAACATACATTGTACATCTGCTTCAGTTATTAAAGAAAAAGGTGCAATGATCAGAAGAATGTCTGTTTTAAAGATAAATATTAAA